TTTTTGGGAAATTTGATTATAATAGTGCTTAGTTATTGAAAATTATTGAATTGACAAAGTTTTTTAAAAATAATTGAAATTTTCAAAGAATTTTATTAAAATTTTTAAAAATAATTGAATTTTGGATAAGAATTATATTATTTATAAAGATAATTGAAATTTTGACAGGAATTTTTAAAAAATTTTTGAAAATAATTGAATTTTTAAAAAAAATATTTATATAATTAATTTATATTATTATTCAAAGAATTATTTATAAAAATAACTGAAATTTTGACTAGAAATTTAAAAATTTTTGAAAATAATTGAATTGCGGAGAAGAATTTTATTATTTACGAAAATAATTGAAATTGTGACGAGAAATTAAAATTTTTTTAAAAATAATAGAAATTTTAATGAGAATTTTAAAAAATTTTTGGAAATAATTGAATTTTGGAGAAGAATTTTATTATTTATAAAGATAATTGAAATTTTCAAATAATTTTATTAAAATTTTTTAAAACAATTGAATTCTTTCGAAGAATTTTATTATTTACAAAGATAATTGAAATTTACGAAAAAATTTTATTAAAATTTTTGAAAACAATTGAATTCTTTCGAAGAATTTTATTATTTACAAAGATAATTGAAATTTACGAAAAAAAGTTTATTAAAAGTTTTGAAAATAGTTGAATTTTGGAAAAGAATGTTATTATTTACGAAAATAATTGAAATTTTGACGAGAATTTTTTTAAAAAAATTTTAAAAATAATTCAAAAGCAAACAGTCGGTCACTAATTCAAATTAATAAACTTTTTGACATGTTCAAATTTAGTGAGCGCACGGCGATAATTTTGAAATTAACATCCGGATGTTAAAATTGCAAAGACGGAATTAAACACATTTTGCGGATATGTAAAAATAGTATCATTCGAATAGTATATAATATTATTGGACACTGTTAACTCATTGACTAAAATATTATGTATGCTACTGTACTTAGCATTTGTGAAAATGTAACTATATCGGAAATGTGGCATGTTCCATATATATATATCAAGACACTTGAATCGTGTCGCGAGGAACAACTCCTACAGAGATGTCATGTTTGTTCAGTGATGCCGATGATCGATGTTGATGACAATGTATGATGCTTTTATATATATTATATATATAAATTTATGTTCGATATTTGAAAACTGTTTCGTCAACTTCTTTAACCTCTCTTCTCTTGACAACTTCAATCCCGAAAAAAAAATTGTCTTCATATTTTTTTATGTCCCTAAAGTTCTGCACTTTAGAATATATGGAATTTATTTATTTCCTTTTCAAATTCAAGTGTCAAAAAATAATATAAGTAATTAATAATAATTACCATTATTAATAAATAATAATAATAATAACAACAGTAATAATTTGTGATTTGCTCCCAAGAAAGGTATCAATCTAGAAAGAAAAAATTTAAACTAATGTTTATAGTTTTTGGAGTAAAAATTCACAAGTGGACAAAATTAAATAAAAAAAAGTTTTCAAAAATTTATTACAGAAAACTTAGTTCTTTTTAATTAATATTTTAAAGTTCAATTAAACATTTTTTAATCCAAACTATTATATCCATGCACTCCAATTTATTAACACGAATTAAATAATAATTCCATTAAACTATAAATATACTTTATATTATAAGCCAATATTTGACTTGAACATTTTCGTGAATATTTTAATGAATTTCTAATGGTAAATTAAATTATTTTACGTTTCTGGCAAAGTTAATGCGCAAAGTATTAAAGTTATCCTAATAATTACCTTCAAAATTAAATTAAATTCAACAGCAAAAAAAGGAAAGAGCAAATTTATTAATCAATTTAAATAAAATTCTTTTTATTTAAAGAAAACTGAATTCAATGTAATTTTATATAAGGATAATTTAATAAAGCTCCTAGAATACATTCCCGCGTTGATAAAACTTTTAGTTTCGAAACCACTGTAAATTTAATGTCGGAACTTTGAAAACCTATGAATTTTAAATACATTCAAGTTTTGTGGTAGTGAGTTGTGAAAGTCTTTCTTAATTTATTAAATACACTAACTAAATAATAATAATTATAGACCTTTATTCATTATTTATTGTTATTATTATTTATTATTTTCTATTTATTTATTTTTATTATTTCATCTTTTATCTATAATAATAATAATTATATCTTTATTATAGCTAAATACAAAAGGTTACGCCAAAAGATTTTGCGTTCCCATGATTTCGACATAGAATTTTGACTTTTTCCCTGACTAAAAAATATTCTCTCAAAAAATGTTTGTAATTTGTGAATATCTTTAATTAAAAAATTATTTCTTTTCTGATAAAAATAACCAAAAATTAATTCATCAAAATTGTTTTCAATTAAAAATTATGATTTAATTATGAATTCTTAAATTAAATTAAATACTTAATAATAATATTAAATAATAATAATAATAATAATAATAATAATAATAATAATAATAATAATAATAATAATATTAAATACTTAATAACTTAAATTCTTGCATAGAATTTTTTTTACAATTTTTGGGAAAATAATTGAATTATTTTGAAGGATTTTATTAAAATTTCTTAAAATAATTTAATTATTCGAAGGAATTAAATTAAAATAATTCTGTAAACAATAATTCAATTTCTATAAAGAATTTTATCAAAACATTCAAAAATAATTGAATTGTTCATAAGAACATTAACATTTTTAAAAACAATTCAATTCTGTTGAGAAATTTGTTAACATTATTACAAATAATTGAATTCTTTATAGAAATTTCATTAATTATGAAAATAATTGAATGATTGCCAAGAATTTTATTAAAATTTGTTTAAATAATTGAATTCTTTCGAGGAATTGAATTAAAATTGTAATATTTGTAAAAATAATTAAATTTTGGCGAACAATTCTGTTATTTATGACGATAATTGAATTCTTGGTAAAAATATAACTAAAGTTTTTGAAAATAATTGAATTCTTTCATGAAGTTTGTTCCAAAATTTTTTAAATAATTGAATTTCTCAGAGAAATTTGATTCTTTATGAAAATAATTGAATGATTGCCAAGAATTTCATTGAAAATTTTTTAAACAAGTGAATTCTTTGCAGGAATTTAACTAAAATTGTATTAAAAATAATTGAATTTTCATAAAGAATTTTCTTTAAAAATGAACGAAAATATAATTGAACTTTTTTTTAAGAATATCATTAAAATTATTAAAAATAAATTAATCTTGTTGAAAAATTTTATAAAAATTATACATTTAATTTTATGAAATCAAATTCTGTTATTTATGATGATAATTGAATTCTTGCCAAGAATGTTTTTAAAATTTTCTAAAATAATTGAATTCTTTCGAGGAAGTTAATTGTAAAATTAAGTTAAAATTGTATTAAAAATAATTGAATTCTTATAAAGAATTATTTTTAAAATAAACGAAAATAATTGAATTCTTTTGAAGAATATCATTAAAAATAATGGAATCTTGTTGATAAATTTTATTAAAATTATTTAGAAAATAATTGAATTTCTGTGAAAAATTTTGTTATTTACGGAATAATAATTGAATTTTTACCAAGATTTTTTATAACATTTTTTAAAATAATTGAATTCTTGCAAAGAATGTTAAAAAATTTTGGAAAATAATTGAATTCCTACAAATTATTTTTAAAAATAATTAAATTCAATTATTTTTAATACAATTTTATAATTGAATTCGTCGAAAGGATTTAATAAATAAAATAATAAATAAAATTCATTTGTTTCGAAGAATTTTATTATATTTATGAAAATAATTTAATTCTCGCTAAGAAATAATAAAAAATAATAATAATAATTTTTAATAATAAAACTAAATCCATCAGTTTTGCGTACAATTTTCCAAATATTTACTCAAAAATCAACTGATATACAGAATAAATAAAAAATTTCGCGAGGATTTCAATTCTTTTTTCTCTTCTTTTTCTTCTTCTTTTTTTTCTGAAGCATAGAATACCGCGTAATCTGTGGTTTTCATATTTCTGCTCATTTTCGCAATAAAATGTTTATGCTTCCAGAAACATCAAAGGATTAAAACTCAAGCTATATGATAAATGGCACCTTTCAAATTGAGTTTCTTCATCGAGAAGACTGCACACAAAATAACTACCGCGTTATCGCACTTTACACCTTGCCTTTTTATGCATGAGGGAAGCCAACGAGTTTACTTTTAAACATTTTTTTTTCCCTTCGTCTTTTTTTTTTTTTTTCTTTTTTTTTTATTATTATTATTTCTGCAAGGATGAAAAAACTTGTTAAATATTTTTACTTTAAATTCATGAACCGGATTAAAAACTACTTTGAAAGTTATTTATTCCCGATTTAAATTTTGATAATGATTTTTTGTTCATCGTCGTTTTTCTTTTTCTATAATCTAGAAAAGAAGGGAAATTTTTTTCTTCCGCATATTTTTTTAAATGAGAAGTTTTTGACTTTACATTATCTTAAAGGTAAATTTGTAATGGAAGCTTTTAAAAGCTTTATAAAAGTCTTTCATCTTTCTTCTTTTTTTTTTAGTAATAACCTGACAAAAACAAATCCAATTTATTTGGAAAGGAATAAAAATTATGTAAATTCTAGTTTTGAAAGTGAAAAATTAATGATTTGTTTTGTAAGTGAAAATTATTTTGTAAATTATTTTATTTTTATTTTATTGAATAGGAATTATTTTTTGTTTTATAGAATATTTTTTTTTTAATGTGATGGTAAGTTTTCGATAATTTTTTTTTTTTTTTTAGTATAAATCAAATATAAAAGTGGAATCTCTGTCTGGCTTTTATTGATAAGATCGAGCGTTTAAAGAGGCTTGAGAAGGAGTATTATACGAAACAGTTTTCAACTCGATCAGGCTCGTAAGCGATATATAGTCGTCGAAGGAATACTAGTATCGCGGTGAAGTGGAGTAACGTTAAAAATACACGGATAGCATAGATGATCAGAGTTACTTACCCAATGCTGGCGTCGTGTAGTCCCAACTCTCAGTATCGTTTTTGTAGACATTCAATTTTGTTGGCTGAAACAATGCAAAAGGAACGAAAAATTAATTTTCCTGCTCTCCTCAAAGTATTTTTTTTCAAGTACTATTAATAATAATAAAAATTACTTTCAAGAATACTAAAAAAAAATATTACTACAAATAATACCAAAAATATTTCAAAAAATATTACAAAAAATAGTATAAAAGTACTACAAAAATACAGAAAATATTCTCAGAAATATTGTAAAAAATAGTTTTAAATTATTACAAAAAATATTACAGAAAATAGTATAAAAATACAACAAAAAATACTGCAAAAAATATTACCAAAAACATTGTAAAAAATAGTTAAAAATATTACAAAAAATATTGCAGAATATATAGTATAAAAGTACTACAAAATATACTGCAATAAATATTATCGAAAATATTGTATTTTTCTTCCAAATAAAAAATAAAGTTCAAGTGGAAAGCACTTAAAATTTGATGTATAATCACATAATACATATAAATATTGTAAACACGATTTCTTTTGGAACTGAAAAGAGATTGAAGAATTAAACGAGACAGTGGAAACATCAACAGATTACAAATCCGTCTAGTGGTGAGGCCTCTGGAAGCCTTCTGAAATCATGAATAAATAACTAACTATCAAAGCCTGTATGACTATTCTATTCGCGATGAATAATTTACACGATAATTCCACAAGTGAAAGACAAGTGAGAAAGAGGTTGGATGAAAAAAAAGGAAAGAAAATTCGCATCAATCATAAAAGAAAAAAAAAAGAAAATTACACAATTTTTTTTCTCCCTCTTTTTTAAATTCCTTTCGGCGAGATATATTTACATTCACAAAATTGTTTCATTTCACGTGCCGAGCAATTTTGTATGTATAAAATATTCTTAAATTTCAGAGCAATGTGCATATATATATATATAATTATATACAATGTAACTTTAAACAGTTGCTCTATATAATGAAATTTCTGCTGAATTTTATTGCAGAGAAAATTAAAAAAAAAAAATTGCGGAATTCTATGCAAAGTATTAGTTTTTATTTATTTAATTTTATGAAGTTAAAGTTGATGCGACGAAAAAAATTTGTTTAGAGTGTTCGAATGTTATTTTTAATAAATATAGAAAAATTGTTAAAAGATAAATAAAATTCTTTCTATTTTAATAATATTTTTGTTTCTTTATTTATTTTTATTTACTCTTTTTAAATATATTTTGATTGTAAAAAAGTTTTTCAGGAATAAAATGGTGGATTAATTTCTCCACTTGAGAACGCCAAGGTCGCCACCAGGTGTCAAGAGAAATTCCAAGAACGAACTCAACTGCCATCTGGCGGTGACCTTGGCGTTCGCAGGTGGAGCGTCTTGCACCTCCATATTGAATCTCAAAATCTTCGTCAATATTCGTAATTTTATAATTATTTCTAATCAAATTTAGAGAGTTTGTCAATTAATATAAACGGATTTCGATTTTTAATACAGTTTCCTTTTCGACATTTTTATCCTCTTTAATTTTTTAGTTTTAGAATTAATTTCTTCACTAAATAAATTGATATTTAAAATCTATGTTTGTGAAATAGTATTTTTAGTAGTTTTTTTTTAATAAAGTAAGTATCACTAGTAATATATTTTGATGAAATGCACTGATAAAAAGATTATTTTATTCAAAGAAACGATTATTTGTCTACTGTCAAATAAATTTTTATTCGTATTAAACAATTTTTTAAAGTGTATATAAATAAGTAAATAAATACACAGAAATTAATAAAATAACAAAAAAAAACGAATGCAATTTGTTCTTTCCCTCATTTTACAGCAGGAAAAAAATAGGTCGAGTGAATTCGGACATTTTTTCTTTTATTTCTTGCCTAATGTATTTTTATGCAGCCTTTTTGACTCGAGAGATGTGAGAACTGGAAATTAAGAATTCAGGATTCAAAGTGCATTAGCGAACAGCGTCTTGCATACGTTTTCAAGGTGCTTAGGTTTGAATGGCAACTGGGACATTTGAAAATCTATGGAAAGCGCTTTGCAGTGCACAGCAATGTTAAAAAAAAGAAGAAAAAGAAAAAAAAGAGAGAGAGAGAGAAGAAAAGAAGAGTGGGTTCCCGGCTTTGTAGGGTATATCGCGATGTAAGCAGCTCCGTGAAGACCTACAAGTGTAATCTTCTTGAGCCTTTTGTACCGAAGCAAACACTATCATCGTTATATAGATTGTTCGCTTGTTGAAGTTATCGAAAAAAAAATTTAAATCTTATACATATTTTTTAATACAATATTATCGTTAAAGTCCCTCTCTATACCTCTGCATTTTTTGTCTTCTTTTTTGCAAGCAGAACAAAAAATCGATAGCAATAATAAAAAATATTTAAAAATAGGTCGAAATTTTGTTTTATATTTAAAATTTCATTCTTCAATAGCAATAATAAAAAAAAAATAATTGAATGATAACTCAATGAAATATTCTAATTAATGCAATAGTCTACCGTCTCTAGCCGCACTAAATATAGAAACAATTAATAACATTATTGGTATAATGAAAGCCAGCAAATTTCTATCAAAAGATAAATTGCCTCGGAATATTACGTATACCGCAAGTGTTAATAATGAATCAATAATATCGAGTAATGACAAACTTAAGGGAATAATGCAATAAAATTATATACGCGATCAAATTATACGAGACTTTTAACAAAACCAAAATTTCTAATTAGATACATTTTACATTATTAATTTCTCCCCCCGTAAAATAAATAAAAAAACATATTCCAATTAAAGGGAATTTTCATTCTAATTAAAGAAAAGAAAAATGCACTTCGAGGAGGAAAATTGAAAAAAATTATTACCCAATTTAATGAGCAATAATCAATAAGAGATTCACAATCGTACAATAAACGATCGTATATTCTCTGGGCGAATGGTGAACTCTATAACAATAAACCATTGAAGGTTTTGCTATTATCATAAATAAATTGGTTACGATGACAATCATTTCATAACAATGTTTATTCCTGAATGATCATCAGAGATAACGAACTGTATTGTTCAATTTTAAGTTAGATAATAACTTGCCGTAAATAAAAACGAGCGTTACGCCAGTTTTTTTGTTCTCTTTTAAAACATTTTTTTTTTACTGGAAAAAAAATTAACTCTCTTCTTTTATAAAAGTACATTATCATAAATATGCAATGTTTATGATATGAAATAATGAAAATTTAAATAAATGATAAAAGAATCTAAAAGTTAATGAATAAAATTAAAGAAAATAATTTTTTACGTAAATTATTCTATAGAAATAATAAATTATTTTATCACTTATTTTTGTATTTAAATAATTCAATTCTGGAACAACTTTTTCCTAATTTATTTTAAATAGAATTTCAGAAAATATTTCAAGAATTGGAAGAATTGCATTTCTAACTTTTAGAAATAATTAAATTTCAAAATTCAATTTAAATTCAATTGTAAAATAAATAACAATAAGTATTATATAAATATTAAGTATTATATTTAAGTATTATATCAAAAATACCTATTTATTAAACAAAAGATAATTGAATTCTGGAAAATAATTGAAAAAATAGGAAATTTTCACAAACTTCAAATAAATGTTTATTTAAAAAATTAATATATTATTTTCCTTTGAAAATTATTGAATTTTTAAATATAATTTTATTCAAAAATTCTAAAAAAATAATTGTCTTTTGGAAAAATTGCAATTGTAATTTTTAGAAAAACAATTAAATTTCCAAATGTTTTACACAAAAATTATTTGAAATTTCAATGAAAATAAATATATAAGTTTTAAAATATTTGTTTAACAAAAATTATTGGAATTTTGAATAATTTAATGCAGAAATTCTAAAAAATGAGAATGTAAAAAATTAGGTTTTTCGAAAAATGTAATTAAATTTTTTTTAAGATAATCAAATTCCCGAAAATAATAAAAAAAATTGAAAAACAATCAATTTGTCAAATTTCATTGAAATAAATTTTATATTTTGGAAAAAAAATTAATTTCCCAACTTTTAAAAATTGATTTAAAAAATAATCCCTTCTTGAAGAATTATATTTCGAAAAATTATATTTTTCAAAAAATAATAAATTTTCATTAAACAAAAAGAAATTTATTTCAGGAAATAAAATTTTGCATTTCCTTAAATAAATTATAATAAAAAATCTCTTTTTTCCTTGAAATAAAACCAAACTGTTTTAATTAAAAGAAAACTGAAAATAAAAAAAATATCGACTTTCATTTTATGCATTGTTATAAACATCAAATTGGAAGAAAGAGAAAGAGTTTAAAAAGAAAAATTATCTGAAAAAAATAATACAGAAATATTATTTCATTTTCTATCGTTTTTTTTTTTTTTTTTTTTTTTTTTTTGTTATAAATATTTAATATTTTTCATTCACAACTTGCTTGTTTAATAAAACAAAAACGTTACTTAAAAATAATCGTTGTGAAAGAAATGAAAATTAAAAATGAATCTTTCTTTAAAAGGTATTCTTTCAATAAAATAAACTCATTCAATTTAAAATGAACGCATTTAAAATTACATACGCTTTTAATTGCTTTCATTTGCTTTTAATAAAAATTAAACAGTAATTTATAAAAAAAAAAAAAAAAAAGTTTTGAAAAAGATTCAAGTCCATTTTTATTTAATCTATAAGTGGTTAAATAATTTGGGTTCAAAATCAAGTTTTCATAACATTGTTTTTTGTGGTGAATAAAAAATAGTTTACGACAATCAAGAATTGTTTAGTGCGTGTACTATAGGAGAGTGGTTTAAATTTCTCTCTTAAATATCATTTCAAAACGTTATGATGCGCGTGTGTGTTATTATTATTTCGGGATTTACGTTGATAGGGAACGAGCTTTGCGAGTATCTTTTGAGGAACAAGAAATTTCAATAAATTTGTGCTAAGAATTACCTACTGTCTGACTTTTACGAGGCGTAAACGCATTTTCCGCCAATGTGATAAAACACTTGTGATATCTTGACAAAACTGCTTTTAATAG